CAACAAAAATAAAATAAAGAAATACAAAGTTATCAATATCATCGTCAATATATTAAAGAATGTGTCACTTTACAATGTATAAGGAGAACTTAAAAAACAAATCTGTGATGGCTTTGTGAGACAAATTTCCCATGGCAGTAATATATTCGATTAATTGATATAGAGCATACATAATACATCAAGGATACTAACCAATAGTACACAATTTAGTAACTTACTTAAAGTGTAAACACTTTGAAAACTAGGATTTTTAATATATCTCGTCCACTTTACCAAACACTTCGTGACAACCCTACAGCGAATCTACGAAAAGTTGCGTCATCTTCCGCTTTCGTTTCATGAAAGGTCATATAACGCAATCTCCGACAGAACGCGATGCCCAACGCTTCGAAGCAAGCCAGTTCAATGACATCCTATCCACCCCGGTGAACATTACTGTAATTATTAAAACACGCGTTTCAGTGGGAAGTCGTTAGGGACTTTTAGATTTGCGTGGACTGATACGTGTGACGTCCATTCAAGGCAGTGCATTAAAAGGACGTCGATCGTAGCAATCCCCATTGTCTTCGTGCGAATCTAAAAGTCCCTAATTGAGCCTGGACTTATGACGAATGGCGAAGAATCGGTTAGTTGATAATCGACTTGGAGTCGGTTGTTTTACTGGGATACCAGGCATTCGGTGAACGATGCAATGAGTTTTAGATAAAGAAAATAGAAAAGGCACATTATTCTTTAACTTGAATCCTGCCTACCTAAATTCTTTGGGTTTTTGTTTTGTTTGTAGTGTAAGTTTTTTGTTTGGTCCGTGTTCGGTCTTTTGTCATTCTGATTTCATCTTCTTTGGTGTGACCGACGTATTATTTTGTTTGCAAGTAATGTTTATGGGGTGTTTCACAAAGATCCTAAGTCGAACTTAACTCTAAGTTGGACTTAAAAGTTATGGAGAGCCATTTGTAGCCTTAAAATTAAATATATTCAAAAGCAAAAATTCGATTATTTTAGACTTTTATAAATTCCACATCAAGAACATGAAATCTCCCATGATGATAGAAAATATGAATTATTTGAATCAACATTTTATGCCTTTTAAAATAAGTTTTACAAACTTTTTTCAAAGATGCTAACGGCTTACCATAATTGTTAAGTCTAACTTAGGGATAAGTGTTCGGATGTGTTTGTGCGGGCGAAAAGGGGATGGGGGATGAGGATTTGTGTGCGTAAGGTTTATCGACAAGTGGTCCGATAGAGGGATAACATCATAAGAATAGATTATCCGCTTTAATCTTAAGGAAATTGAGTTTTGCCGCTAAAGACAATCATTTCAGTTCAATTATGACGATAACCGATATATCTACTTATCACATTACAGTGACAGTTGAAAGTGTCCATTATGTCTATCACTTTATCTCTTATAATTGAAAGTTATTAAACTCTCTCTACTTATCTCTGTCTCTCTCTGTGTCTCTGTCTCTCTTTCTCTCCACACGCCGCACACGAACACGCACGCACCACAGGTTTTTGCAATTCCAAGACAATCAGAGGGATTAATGGAAATGTTACAACAACGAACTAAGACAAACAGAATGAAAAAGAACAACAGAATAAGTATGAACGTGACGTCATAGTGCAGCTTAGGAAGAGCAAGGCTACATGTCTTATATTTGTAATTATGATAGGCTAGTACTTTGGCATTTAATTTCAATATTAATTGTTTTAAGGGATTAAACCATAGCTCATTCTTTGACCATATTATACACAATTTAGACTCTAAAAAACCTCGTAAGACTTAAACGGCCAGTGACGTCCAAGGCTCGCCGGAAAAATGCCCGATTTAGCACCATATTATAAATGCAAAGTCGATACGATCCACTGAACAGGTTAATTCAATAGTATGCTATTAAAAGAGTTAGGAAAATCCATTAATTTCGGAGGCCTTGCTTTTCTTCGACTAACATCTACCTTCAGCCAATTGGTTTGAGCAAGGAGTTGGAATTCCGACTCTCTGGTTTGAATGTGAGTGGAGGAAGGATATGCGGTGCAAGTGTCACAGTACCCCTGGGACCTGTTTCACAAAGCCATTTTTCAATGACAAATGACAAAACTCAATGCTGATAACCAATTAGAAGCAAGGATTTCAGTAGCTAAGTCACTGATGACAAGTTTTGTGAAACGCCCACCAGGGCCTATAATATCGAGCATTAACACCCGTCCAATCATACATCATCCATCATAGATCATCCAGGATTATCTCGGATTAAAGTTTGCTTGTGTGGGTGACACCTCTACAAAGCAATGAAAATATTAAAATCCGATGAATTATCGATCCATGAATATTTCCATTACTTATACTGATTGGAATTAAGGACCGTGAGATGGTGCATGATGTTGTTGAATTTCCTCAGGTTGATATTTTAAAGGTAAAGACCAGTATTGGAAACGCCCCAATTTCAAAAAACGAAATGAAAGCTCTTATTACCAATCATGTGAAAGAATATGTTTTGACTAGTACATGATGATAAAAATTTTGCCGGGAAACCGCCTACTAATTGATATATTTGGTATATTAGTTTATCTACATGGTATGTGAGAGATAAACGCACGTGTCGCGCACGTGTGCGTATAGTCCCATATACATCTTTCTGTGTACAGTGCTTGTAACTTTACGAAGACTGGGCCAAATTTCTTATCATTTTGATGATTCCAGAACCTTGCAGTACACACCAATACTTATATGTTAGATGATCAACCTTTTCTGATCGATTCCACAACGTTTCTTTCACAATGCAATCGCATGACCATAACTGGTCTTTACCTTTAAGGTCTTTACACTCCTGTTTTACAATTCCCTGTTATGATTGACAATGAAACAATTTATGAGGAGGTGTGATAGATTTTAGGTTACCAAGAAAGAAAAAAAATTGTTTACAGTAATTTTCTGTGCTGAAATTTGTTCTGCATTACGTCAAAGTGACATAACCGATTCAGCCAAATAGTATCCAAACGTCTAATGATTACGACTTTAAAAAAATCATAACCTTATTTTATTACAATTTTCAACGGTCTGCTTCTCTAACTTTTCTGCTTTCTTCGAAAGTAGTTCTATGTTATTGTTGGGTTTTCCATATAATGTAAAATTAATCAATAATTAATGAAAATCCAGACGCGAACTTTTGGATGTACAACGGGCAAAATACGGCGGGTGAAATTTCATTTCATTTCATTTAATTTCCACATTAAAAACAGAAAAATATACATGGGAAGAAAATACATGGTACAGATTTGACACATAAAGCAAATGAAAAACAGATATATAAAACATGTAAGAACAAGGAAAATCTACATCGATTAACAAACATCAAACTTTAAAAAAAATTTGCAGCTAAAGTAATTATCTAACGATACTAAGAAATGAGAATCCCTCTTCAAAATGAGGGTCCACTGTGTATCTATCTGAGGGTACATAATGGTTTGAACTACATTACATTGTGAGCTTCGTTTTGGCTGTCAGATCCACATTCGCATGTAAATCTTAGCAGCTATATGTGTGAAGTAGGGTAATTCTCTCAAAGTTTGGATTTATAGTTTAATAATAATAATAATAATAATAATAATAATAATAATAATACATATGATTTATAAGGCGCCAAATCCACTTGACAGTCAAATGCTCAAGGCGCAGCTTGTGCAAGAGATGAAATACATACATGATACATTTATACAAAGTGCGATAGGAAAGGTAACTTCTCATTTGTCTCGTTAGTGTTGTTCACATGCTTAAAGGAGCATAATTAATTAGGCATAAATAGTCAATTTTTACAGAATTGCCTTAAAACACAATCAAACGGCAACATATCGTGCTCAGTGACGAATATGACAATTTCGTCAACTGTAATTCCACCAAGTCACACCAAAGGAGACAGACACCAGGAGCCTGTTACATAACACTTGTTATCTATGTAACAACTGCTAAATTGCTATGACAAATTTGCTCTCAGCCAATTAGATGCCATGATTTCAGTAGCTTATAACAGCAGCTTGTAGCTTGTTACTGAAATCAATTTCTTTTTTAACACGACTACCGACCGAACAAATGGTCACCTGGCCAAGAATCGGTCGATCTATAAAGTCGGTTTTGCGGTCTGATTATTGCATAAAGGCTGCGAAAACGCAAAACAATTAATCATTCATATTAGCTGCATACTCAACGATTCTGAGTAATGTTGTAACAGTTTAAACAAAACCTAACAAGAATCATTCCTTTTGTCTGCGTAATTCAATAACTAAGAGTGATAAAATAGCAGTATACAATGCAGCAATTGCACTAAACAAGATATTATACTAACACGACATGCATATCAATTACAATCTTTAATTTCTATATACAGACTGATGAAGTTTTTCTCTACCTTGGACTAGTAATTAACGTTATTTTTGTTTGTTAATATCATTTTTTTAAGACAGATAAATCGCATTTCGTACCCAAATAATTTATTCTGGAATGAAGACATTCACTCCAATAATAGTACTATTTCAAATATCGAACATTAAAAAGATTGCATTGACTGCAACACATAATCATTGATACACATCACAGATGGCAAAACATTTCATTTTGTAATCCTAGAAACATCAAAGTACAGTACAATACAATAAGAGATAATAATTCAGACCAAATAATCCTAAATATAACAAATTCTGTTTTTCAGGTATGAGTTTTTCACACGATCATTCCACAGTAGCACAATCTCTACATTCTACAATTTCGTAAGTTTTTTCAAAAAGTATTTATAATTTTTTTTTTATTCGTAATCAGATTTTTTTTTACTTATGATCGTTCTGCGCTTAGAATTTTAAGATTAAAGTGAATTAGAAACATTGTTAAAGGTTGATGACAAAAGCTGCGTAATTTTTGTATGAAATGTTTTTTCTTTTTTCTTTTTACCTAATACTAACCCACTAAAATGCAAAAAAAATCCTGAACAAAATTATCAAACCACAAAGATATTTATGGTTTTCTTTGAAGGCGTCAGTGTGTAACTCCCTCTAACAGTAAATTCTCCAGACCAATTTTGGAATTATCCCAACCGTTTTCCAAAATCTTTCAACAATTTAATGTTTGAAATGGATTATATAGCCAATTCATTGCTTTGTGACTATTTACATTCGCCTAAAATCTTATTTAATTATAACAGTATCAGATAAGTTTTTCCAAATATATATGATCAATAATGGTTTGTTTTTACTAAAAATTTCAGATAATCTGTTTATTTAATATTGTAGTCACTTCCTTAGCTCCATTGTCTTCCATCTAAACAATGTTATTGAGTCTCTCCTTTTTAGATATTCGAATGTCTTTTTCGAAAGTCACCCCCTTCTGCAAAGGGGCTTATTCTTCAATACTATAACAATCATGCGTTACACCTACGTAATACAGAATAAACGATTTTCGTAATATAATCATCGTTTAGTGCCATGTTACAAATTTTTTTACTCATCTGGTACAATTAATTGTATTTCAATAGTCAGAATGAAAATTGCATACATACATTTCTGCTAGGTAGGACAAACATCATGGCTTGCCCTACTTACCATCACGTAATGTATGCAATTCATATTCTGACTATTAAAATACAATTATTCGTAAGAGGTGAACGAAATAATTTGTAAAATGGCACTTAACAAAGATTTATGCATTAAATTCATTACGAAGAAAGCATTTTTTTCAGAGTACATTGTTCGATCTTTTTCCAGTGCTGCATTGATATTCAATATTATTTTAAGATTCTTAGAGAAACATCCATCAATATATTTTATAACTCCCATGTACTTATATATATAAGTTTTCTGTGTAAGACATATTTACATCAGCATATTTTCATTTTTTATTTTCACCATCATCATTATTATCTCCATCAGCACCATCACCTGTTTTTGTTTAATTTGTTATCATCAAACCCCTCCTTATCATTCCACCGGGATATTACGCTATCAAGCAATCGTTTATTGTAATATACCTTCTTCTTCTGCAACTTTCTTAATGAATAATTCTCGGTATTGGGTTATCACTTAAATGTTATTTTAATATCATCATGTATAACTATTATATTATATACACATTAAAAAAAACTTGTTATATTTTGTATAAGTTATATTTCTGACATGTAATTTGATTTCTATGTTGCAGAAAAAAATAAATTCAATTTAATTCAATTCAATGAGGATAATGGCCTATTGACTCGTTGAAACCCCAGGTTTGTATAATTATGAACTCCCTTGAAAATCCACAACCAAAGCAACGGCTGGTTGGGGCATTTTTAAAATCCACTATACGTTGTGGGGCTTTCTGCTCACAAGTTTGTCATTGTCATTGTCGGCATCGGTGACAACATGGTCCCCAGATTCTTTTCTGCACCCGAGGAAGAGGATTTCCTGGCGTTTTTGCTGCTTGAAAGTTCTCCGTTCAAAGACTGACTGACGGCCCATTTATCAATCTTCCTCTGGCATGCTTTACGAACCTAAAAGGAGCAATGAAAATAATCAAAAGAATTATTACTATTATTATTATTATGATTATTATTATTATCATCATTTTTATTATTATTATTATTATTATTATTATTATTATTATTATTATTATTATTATTATTATTATTATCATTATCATCATTATTACTTATACCGAGCTTTTTCCATAAGGCCCAAAGAATGGGAAAACGAAGGAAGGACATATAAATGAGGAGGGATGGTAGATAGGTAGATAAATAGAGAGACAGACATACATACAGACGGAGAGAGAAACATGCAGACGGACAGACGGGAGGACGGTTGAAAGATAGTGGGAGGGGAGACATAGAAAGAGAGGCAGGTAAACAGGGGGCAGAGTGGGAGAGAACGAGTGATAGAACCAGGGAGAGGATAATATGTATGCGTTTAATAGAGAAAAGTCATGAGGAATTATCATGAGAGAACAAAAAGTATATAAAAAAGGTGAGAGAACCAGGGAGAGGAGAAAGTATAGGCGTTTAATAGAGAAAAGTTATGATGAATTGTCTCATCAGAAGATGCAGACAGGATAAATCTGCTAACATTAGACCCTATAAAATGCAATTTGTATAAGCACGAGCTTGATTATCTCTTTTTCCAAGAATTTATAAAATAATCACAAACTAACCACAAATAATCGTTGGCATAATGTCAAACGAATAGGTTCAGCTCGTTCATAAACAGTAGCGATCTAACTCGCTTTTGCAGATCTGCTATACTGCTTGTAGGAGTTTGCCAACTAGCGATCTAACTCGCTTTTTGAATTTTGCTTTTATTTAGAAGAGCGAGCAGCCGTAGCGATCTAACTTTTGTCGCAACAAATTTCTGCTCTTATATATGATAGCAGCAAATCGCTATTTTTGAGAGATTATTGTTTCCCCAAACAAACAAACGAACGATTGAACGAACGAACATGCATTCAAAGAACAAACCAAGAAAGAAAAAATCACCTCCGAGTTTCTGAAGAAGTGGACGAAGAAGATGAAGACGCCTTGCAGACAATTAAGGACGATGAAGACGTAGAGAAAGACGACCTTTGCCCTGTCGACCGCCAAGAACCCTACGACCCAGGTCAATCCCATTATGGGCAGGAGAACCATCATGGCCTTTACTCCGTACCTGTAAAAAATGTAAATATTTCCTTGAAACATTTTGGTGCTTAAGCATTACATGAACATATTTTAAACTTCAATCAAATAGCTCGTATTCCTAGGTTGATGTTCCCAGTTTGGTGATCTGACGTTGAAACCATAACTTGTAAATTGTGACTTTAACAAAGTAAAAGGCTTGCGAGGCGGGTTACAATCCAGTTTAACTTAAGTCCAGTGGCGCTATAAAGCGCTGCTGTGGTCTTCACGAGAGCACGCCATGCAAATCTTCCACCTGCCATTATCGTCGCTGTTTTCACGAAGTGACGGTAGTGAAAAAAAAAATTGCATTCACTTTGCGTTACGATTTTCCTCACTACAGTCACTTCGTGAAAACAAGGACGAAAATTTGTGTTGCACCTTTCATTCCTTTCATATCATCAGTCTAAGATATTGGTGGACGACCTCTACCCCGTTTTCCTTCGACTGCTCCTTGCAGTATTTGCTTCTCAACACCTTTAGATCTCCTAACATTGTGCCCCAAATAGTTTAGTTTTCTTTCCATGATTCCCCTTCTGATGGTCAAGTCTGTTCCAGTCTTTTCCAGGACCCACACACACGTCACCAATATTCAATACTCTTTGACATGTATATACTTACTTGGCTCGCTTCTTCATGTCGCCTTGCATCGTCGGGCCGTCCGACATCTTGACGATTTGGACGACGACACGTATGGTCACAAAGATATTGAAGACGACCACGACAGCGACCGGGACGATGAAGTAGAGGAGACTGTGGTCTTCCATACTTAGGAAACAACTGCAAAATAAGGACAACAATTATGTTTAGACCTGGGACCCTTTTCACAAAGCTCTTTTTCATTGACAAATGACAAAAATCAGTGACATATAAACAATCAGAGGCAAGGATTTCAGTAGCTTATAACAAAGACTGTCATTTGTCACCGATGACATGTTTTGTGAAAGGGGACCATGGTCATGTACTGGGACAACGCAATAGACAGACAGCCCTCGAGAAAGATGCCGGTCTGTTGAAGTTGTCAGAAGGTCCGCAAGACCGACATATTGGTCTCGTGATACTTTGGGTAATTTTTGTTTTAAAGGCCGCCACACAGAATACACCGGTCTTATAGTCTGCAGTGTATTTTATGTGTAAATTTCTCAAGCATCAGTAAAACATAAATATATTAATAAATAAATATATAGATAAAACCTCGGAAAAAAACCCCCAAAATATAAATAAATATGAACAAATGTAATAATTACAATAACAATATGAAATAAAATAAAACCGATCAATTTATTAGTTTTATATTAATGTTGTTAAGAAAAAAAATAACAGAGTCCGAGGCTGTGCGAATGTACAGAACATCATCTGATTATGAAAGGTGAATTACACCATAAGCTAGCATTATCTTGGATTCGCGAAATAACAGCATACTCACTAGTTTTTGAAGACGATCCCTCGTGTAAAATTGACGACAAGCAGCATGGCGACGAAGATAATTGGAATACCTACAAAAGACATAAAAAAAACCAAGAAAAATGACTATTAAACCTACATTAAATAATCACGTAACGTTCTTTTGAACAAATAAAAACTCCAATATCCTATGAGGCAAATTGACGAAATAGTAGGCGTGTATAATTGCTAATCTAATGAATGAGGCAAAAAACATTTGCTCTTTTGCGCTAGTACTTCAAATGTATCCAGATATACTGATTTGTTCAATAATTATCTCAACGTACTTGGTACATGATAAAAGATAATGACGCAATTACTTTTTACCATGGTACAAATGCATGATCCATTTTGAAAGGTCTGATGGGAACAATTTGGTTTTCTCTCAATTGAATACATTTTGAATTTTAACATTTATCACATGCTTAGCTCTAAATCATGAACTTACCCCACCCGCATGCCATATACATCTTGATTTTGCGTTTCTCGGCGTTCCATACCACAAATGTCAGCAAATAGAGATGTACGCCCTCAATGGCCATCCATGCAAACATCGCAATGAAGTGGTAGTAAATGACAGAGGCGAGGATGATACAAGATATCTAGAAAAAAAAAATACAAATACATACGTATTTTTACTATCTTAGCTTTGGTTTACTCTATTTCTATATCCCGCCCCACTGTCATTCATATTTAGGATTTGGAGGGGTTGGGGCTACATTATATGCCCTGTTCGCCGGATTCCGAGGGAGGGATCTCAGGTCTTTTATAACATATTCTTTACGTGTTATCTTTTTCTTTCCAACCAACCCTCGTTTCTTATATTCTGCTTCCATATGATTATATCAAGTACATTACAATTTAACAGGACTATTTGAATACACAGGTTTATGAGTTAAATATTCTGTCTTCGGGTGGAATATTGTTTTGCGCATTTTCAATGTAATCTATAGGGCACAAAAGATAATTTAATAGCTTTTTGTGTTGCTTTTTTTTTTTGGAGGGGAGCCATATTTTGAAATTATTTTTTGTGTGATACTGGTAAATTAAAAGTTCACGAATGGGTTCTTTAAAGGCTGAATTGACAAACTGAAGTTCAAACTCAAATTGACATGTTCCCCTTTTAAAATGTCATATCTTTATGTGCATTCCCTGGCGTGAATGCTCCCCAGGGAGTGGAGATTGTGTGTGCGGGCAAGTATTGAATCCAATGACCGGGGTAAAAGCATATCTGTAAAGCGCTTAGAGACATTTGTATAAAGCGCTATAAAAAAGTTGAATATTATTATTATTATTATTATTCTGATTGTCCCTTTCCTCAAGGATAGATAGAAAGAAAGGAAGAAGCAAAGCAGAAGAAAGAAAAATAAATGCCATTTTTGGTCTTCTTACCGGTTGCTCGGCTGGATTAGGGACTGCACTGAGACACAGAAAAGCTGTTTCAGCCAGACCGACAGACAAGGCGAGGTTCCCATGGACCAATATGAGGTCGCTTCGCAGCCTGCATATGCAAAGAAAACACAAAAAGAAAAAGCAGGCTAGTAATAGATGATTAGGTCATATTTCCCGAATCCACGGAGGTGGTGCAACCGAAAACTTAGTCTAGATAATCGTCTGAAATAAGGTCTGCCCAAAAGGCCGTTAACGTAGGTAATGGAGAAAAAAGAAGAGGAAGAAGAACAAGAAGTATAACAAGAACAATGACATTTACTTTTTTGAAATATAAAGTAAACAAGAAATATTTATTTACTGTTTTTTGTTTGTGTATTCATATAATGATGCTTAGATGAATTTTTAGTATTATTAAAACAAAAAAATCATTACCCGTCCCAATTAAAGCTCTCCGTCTCCCCTCGGTACAAAGGTTTATAGAACAACTTTATAACCTGAAAAAGAGCACCCGTCTCACTTTCCCCTAAAAAACACAAACCAATAGCTTATATATCAACTGTCATCAGCCCCAATCCCCGGTGCAAAAGAAGAGTTACCTGAGGAAGGCATAACCGAAAATGGTCAGAAAACAAGCTGCAATGGAGAAACTACATCCAATCCATGTCAGGAGCATCATGATCTCTTGATTCCTTTCATCAATCTGAAACATTGAATTAAAGTTACATAATGGTGTAAAAGCTTCTGACCATCTAGTCAAAGTTAAGGGATCAAACTGTGCAATGCCACGTAATATTTATTGTAAAAGCAGTGGCGAAAGAGGTTTTTTTGTGATGTAGGTTTACCTAAACAAAAATGCAGGCTAATATGTATTATAAGAATCAACATGATGTAGCTATATCCTTCCCTAAAACGGTTTTTAATATTCATAACCATGCGGTATGTTTGAGACGACTCAATAGACATTCGTCAGGGAACTATAGCAGACAACAAAACATCCTTTTAAGCTCCGATGGACTCAGATTCAGGTTCAAACTTGTTAATTTACCATTTACCATTAACCATCGACAAAAGCTCTGACTAATCATCTCAATTATTATTGGGATTTAGGAATGAATATCGGCATTTTCATCATATTGGTAAACACCGAAAAAGACTACAGTCAGGCACAACTTCGGAAAACCGAGTAAAGGCAATTACTCGGAAAACAGCGAATAACACTTTGCGAATGTAGTGCCCTCGTCGTTCAGTGCGTGGCAGTGTGTACAAGAAGACACCGGGAAAATCTTTCAAACCCTGCTGTTGAAACTTTTTTTTTAAACAATATATTTATTTCATATGTTTTCAAATTGGAAGGAATGTTTACATGACTGATTCTTCGTGGAATTTGAAGTTAGTGGATCCTGAACATTTGTTTTCGAAATACATATCGACAGAACGTTGACTTCGCACGATCCTTCCCGTGCCTATTTGTACACACTGCCTCGGACTGGACGTCGGGGGCTTTATATTCACTGACTTTGATTCGCTGTTTTCCAACTATTTGCCTGTACTCGGTTTCTCGAAGTTGTTTCTGACTAGACTAGTTTCGTCTATAGGTAAGTAGATTCCTTGACTTACCTCTCCCGGCGACACATCTATGAGCACTGCAAAACTTGTCAGGTGGTTACAGAGGCACGTGACTTTCGCCTCGCCGTTGGTGACGTCAATAGATCCCAGGGTGCACCCCGATGTCGACCAATCACTGTTTAAACATGAACACAAAATCAAATTCACTTAATTGAAAAAGGTTGGCATCTTTCTTTCAGTTGATATACTTTTAAAAGCAATATGTATTCTAAAGTCGAAGGCAGGTCAAACAATTATATTCTTAATAGAAAACAAATCAATGATCATGATTATTATAAAAAATATCATGAATTGACTTATTCAATACTAAATTCCCACACAATGGTGTAGCCAGGTTTACAACCTGATTGGGAGGGGAGGGGGGGGGGGGGGGGGTCGAGTGGCCGAAAACTAATGATCATTATTTAAGAGGACAATATTTATGATCGACAGAAAGAGAAGGCGAATGGCCCTTTTTGCCCCCTCCTGTTCATTTCATTTCATTTCATTTCGTTTATTTCCATTTCCAACAAAATAAATAAAGTACATGGGATTGCATTGTGCATAGTAAAACAATGAAATTGGTCCACAGTGTACAACAGGCATATAAAACAGGTTGGTCATGGAGGGGACTGCTGAAAAGCTGGGCTTGTAGATTGCAGCCCCCTATACGTGGGATTTTGCCAATGATGCACCCCCCTCCCCCGTAATGCTGCGTGAGCCGGTTCGTGTTTTATAATATAAATGTACACCTGTTATTTCATACGATTTCAGAAAAAGAGAATATATTTCAATATTAAATAGTTGCAGAGTAGTGAAATTGGACATTGGGCAATTCACCGTATATTTTATTGAAAATTTGAAATCCTTATGACACAGCCAAAATAAGCTATAATCTACGATAATATAATGAATGGATGCAAAACATAGTATTTCATCTTAAATGTAAGGCGCTAGAACTTGGTAAAATAAACCTCACCTTTCTTCGTAGTCCCAATATGAGCACAACGTGTTGTTTTTCTGTGCATCAACCTGGACAAGGAAAAAGTGATGAAGAAATAACACAGTGTGAACAAATTATCATCAGACATTAAACATTAGCAATGCTATTCGCTCTCTCTTTCTCTCTTTCCTCGACAATTGGAATTAGATCTGGTACAGGTATTAGCGAATAAAATAGGTAACGTTCTTCAGTAACAAAATTTATTCATTTCATATTGTGTTCCGCTTAGTTCCGTTTAGTTACGTTTTATGTCCTTCCGCATACCGTAATTTAGATGTTCATGTTTTTTCATTAAGTATGTAGGAATGTCAGTTGACGTTATGTACATTAATGTATCTATGTAGGTTTTTTTTATAAGCAGACAAAATGTTCGAAAAAATGATATCATGGATTAAAATGTACATGATAATAAGATTAAAATTTAATGTCAGAACACTTCTCCGGTCTAATACTTTGATTCGAAAAGAAGCTAAATCCACTTTTGATGAAAATTGAGCTTTTGACATCAGAACATTGCTCACTTAAGTACCCGTTTTTCAACCAAAGTATTTACCTAAATTGTGGGCACTTTTTAATATCACTGTTCCATAGACGCCTGTACAAAATCTGTTAAACAATTCTTTTTTTCTCTTAAGTTACAAAAGTGGATTTGGCTCCTTTCGGAACAAGCGCGTAGCCAGGATTTCATTTTAGGGGGGGCGGTAGTGAGCACGCGAAGCGTGCGAATCACTTAAAGAGCGCGCGAAGCGCGCTCCCTAGGGGGGTGGGTGCAGGGAGGGGAAAGAAGACGATTCGTTGTACCTTTCTCGACTCATAATCCTTGTCTGAATTCAGTCCCTCCCCTCTCTCGCGCGAAGCTTTGACGTTTCATTAAATTATTAGAGAAAGAAGACGATTCGTTGTACCTCTCTCGACTCTTAATCCTTATCTGTATTCAGTCCTTCCCCTCTCTCACGCGAAGCTTTGACGTTTCATTAAATTATTAGAGAAAGAAGACGATTCGTTGTACCTTTCTCGACTCTTAATCCTTGTCTGAATTCTGTTCCCCCCCCCCTCTCGCGCGAAGCTTTGACGTTTCATTAAATTATTAGAGAAAGGAGACGATTCGTTGTACCTTTCCCGACTCATATTTCTTAATTTGAACTCAGTTTTCCCCTTCCCGCGCGAAGCGCGGAAGCTTTGACGATTCATTGTACCGTTCTCGACTCCTTTTCCCTTTTTCGTCCTACGTCCTCTTTCTTTTTTTTCTTCTCTTTCTCTCTCTTTTTTTTTTTGGCCGGCGTTTTTTTTTTTTTTGGGGGGGGGGGGGCGACCGCCCCCACCGCCCCCCCCCCCCCCCCTGGCTACGCGCCTGTTTCGGAATTAAACTCTTCATATAGAACTAGTAATTTCTTACCTCCAAAGACCTGGTGACGAAGGAAAACGAAATATTTTTGCTGAATGGTTGCTCAATCTGATTAGAGACTAGTCCCACACTGAGAAGAGGAGATCCAATCTTTGTCCTGTCAGGGAAGAAAAGTGATCAAAAGTGATTAGCATTGGACAGCCCGTCGTTACCATCAACGATTTTGTTACATAATTTAGTTTAAATTCAACCCCCTTCACAATACCACAGTAACACGGTAACAAATGCAATCGACTCAACTGAGGCAATTTCAATACATTATTTTAGATCCCAAAGAAATAATGTCCGTTTTGCGAAACACGTATGTAGCAACCAAATGTTAAGATTTCTTTAATAGCTGAAATCGATCTTTTTTGGCATTTGTATTATGTATTGATTTGTACATGTTTGATAAGTATTGCTTTCCCATTTCTCAAAATGGCGAATTGGGAGTCCTTATTTCCCTTGCGTGGTATCTTTCTACTCCGCCTGTCTGGCTTTGCAGACATGTTCTAACCGGTTCCGTCTGGTTCGTTAATATATTCTTTTGTGATGTAGATTTGCCATTGTTACATACAGCGCGTACAACAGCATATTAATTATGCACGCGTATTTCAAATCATTTCAACCAATTACGCTGCAGTAAGGATTGGGGCATCTGGCTTTTCTCACCACGTGGGCCTCAGTGGGAATTTTTGTTTCGGGATATAGGCTGTTGCTATGTGTTATACCGTGCCTGTTTGATTTGTGTCCAACGAGGACTCGAATGACTTTATCCCCGCACTTCTGGCGGCGGATTTATTTGCACCACGTCTTGCTATTCGCGAGATTTATTTTTTGATTATTCTCACATCTGTCTTATCAACCGCCGTCATTCGTTGTGTTGTGCTGACTCGTTGATTAGCGTCATCGCCATCACCACATCATCTTCATCGTCATTCATATCATCACTGAATTGGTCGATTTACTGTTTCATCACCATCGTCACCGAGACCATCATCAAAGACATAATCGCCGTCATCATAATTGCCGTCAGCATCACTGTCAACATCGTCTTCGTCGTCATCGCCATCATCGTCGCTTTCATCGTGGCTATCGTCAGCATCCTCATTCCTGACCTCGCCTTGGATGCTGATTTGGTATGATCGATTTATTTTTGAACGCATGCATAGCTGAATGATTTGATAATCCTTTTTGTGTTTGATGATTGATACTAGTTGTTTTAGTACGATTGTATATTTGTGTATTTATTTGATCGTGACTGTGATTAAGGTTTAGTTTTATTACCCCCTTTTGACGATCCCGTTGTGTGTGTGTGTGTGTGTGCGTGTGTGTGTGTAATATACTGAAGATCAATCGCTCCCGTTTTATAAAATAATCACTGTTATTTTTGTGTTGATTATTGACGACTAGGAGAGCTGTCCACTTCCTTTGACATTATTGTGTGTGTGCCCAAACGATTATATGAAACTTGATTATTTGTTTTGATTATCGATATCAAATCGCCGAAATTTAATTGTACAACATTATTCTTAAACAATGTGGTTTTACCCGGAAGATCGTATCAAGTTAAACGGTAACCCCCACCCCCCCTCGAGGAGTTGACTATTTCACGATGAGGTGGAGGGGAGGGCGGGGGGTGGGCAAATGCGTATCATGATTCAGCGTATGATATCAGACAATGAGAATGAGAGGTCTTTCGTTGATTTGATGGGTTCGATGGGGGCATCCTTGTGATAACAGACTCCATATTCTCCTAGATCTTAGACTTTCTTCTTCTACCCGATTGTGAATAAAACTTTAAGTCTGGCTTTGGGGTTAAATTTTAAAAGAATACGAGTCGATCTATTTTCAATGAGGTCTTCAACGGTTTACTGCTCACCTATTTTGTCCGCACTTCGAACTTGCAAGTATGTCTCCACCGTAAGGCAGCATGATCTGATACACTGCCCGCGAGCCCATCTCCTTGACGACCTCACACGGTATGCTCACATCGTTTCCAGCGAGGTTTAGGGCGCCCTCACATTCCGCAGCGGTGGCTGATACATCTGATGATGATGCCCCGTTGGTTGACTTAATGGTGAATGCTGTTGCGGGAAGTGGAAAAATACATAGTAATCAGAGAGGGAAGACAAGAGAGGGAAAGGGGAAAGAAATGGAGAGAGACCGGGTCTTTTTATTTTTGTCATTTGTCAAGTGCAGCGATTCACATTATGTAGTATATTTAGCACAAAGAACATGAACATGATGTTTTACGACAAAACTGACTAACCATCAAATGTTATCTGCATAAGCTCCAGCAAAGCAAGAAGGAACACGTACTCTTAGGCCCGAATTTACAAAGGAGGTTTTTCGACAAACCTAGGTTTATGTGCGTCATGTGACGCGTTTTGATGCGTTTTTTGAACAAACCTATAGGTTTGTAAAAACGCGTCAAAACGCGTCATATAACGCACATAAACTTAGGTTTGTCGACAAACCTCCGTTGTGAATTTGGGCCATAAAGAGTGAAATTGGTATTAGGCTAGACAATTAAAAAAAGAGAGTCGCAAGTTTGATCCAAATTGAAAATCCAAATTGAAGGTTAGACTAAATATTAGTTTCTTTTAAATTCTTCCTAATATAACGTCATTTTGCATAACCACGTGATTCACTGTCTTGCTTATTGAGAAAAGTGTGTGTGGCACTTGGCATTGAAATTCGAGAACCAAGAACAATCCTCTTTCTTTTATTACAGATACAATCATGCCAGGAACGTAGTTTTTTGTCCCAATCACAATATCCTAGCTATACACCAACAAGACTAACAATATAGACTGAAACAGACCGAACACAATATCGCAGTATTTCGAATAGCTACGAATGAGTCGGGTTTGAGTTGCTTTCGAGTCTGTTTGGCGTTGTGACTGAGTTATCACTACCTGTATTTTCTCGTGAGACTCCAAACGACGATATACCGCCATCAACGATCAGTTCAGAAGCGGAGGTCAAGAGATTCTCAAGTTCATATTGGACATCCTCAGGTGATGACGTCAGATTTCTCTGAAAAAAGATAGGTTGATATGGTTTGTTGAGAGACAGAAAGCTGTTATCCCTATATGCGATTGCTATAGACCAGTTCGTAGATACAATCTGCGCATGGGCAGATAAAAATCTTTTGTACCACACTTGTAAATCCCATCGAGACGAATACCTGAAACGTGCTCATGATGGTTATGTAAAAAATTATTCATGTATTCCCCGATGATTTATTGCATGGAACACAGGTGGAAATATTTCTCACAAGAGGACAAACGATAGGTATTCATGGAGCACCTCCATCACTTTGGCGGTGTTTATTCTAACATGCAAGAAACGGGACGTCTTTATGTCTAAGAATTCGTGGGTATTTGGGGGATTTTTCATATATCTGCTGACCATAGTAATTAATAGTGATACACCACGAGTACAAAACTATGATTTCTATTTTTGTTTTTGATGATTGAAGTAGATCTGCGATAGAACGAGATCTACAAACACATATAACCCTCACAAAGATCGGTAAAAGGGCGGTAATAACGGTTTCAAAACTGTAAAATAGGGACTTTTAGATTTGCACGTTTCCAGCTTTGACTGCAACGTGTGACGTCATTTTAAGGCACTGCGCATGCGTTACGTCGTCTCAGTCGGCGATCGAGAATGCGTCAACCTTGATTTTCCTAAATCTAGTACAAACATACATACATATTGATATTCATATAGCGCCTTAACATGCTCAAGGTACTAGTATGCCGCGTGCGCATAAAACATACAGTTCCTCAAGTAGACAAAGGAACATCCCTTCCCTGCTATTATGTAAAAATGTGTAGAATAGGTGTAACATGCATATTCACCTGTTCTACACATTTTTACATAATAGCAGTGAATTGAATTTTGTCCTCTTTCTTTGTCCGTGATGTTCATAGTGTTACTTCCTGCATGCTATCGTCGAGAGCAATCTAAAATATTTCTAATTGAAGTCAACATGGGCAGTTAACTACGTTGACACGCATGATCAGTCGGCGTTCGTCGTGTTTTCGTCCACTCAATCTAAAAGTCCCTAATATCTAAGACTAGACAGCTCCCACGCGTACGCCCGAATCCCTGCCATCCAATTTGGAAATATATAAATCAGCACACATTGAATAGAGATATTTATTCTTTTACTGTCTTAATATGACAAATATGATTTATTTATAATTCAAATCAATATTTTCAATTAAAAAAATAAAGTATTATGTTTTTTCTGAAGATTTAATAAGTATGATTGATATAGTTGGCGAATCATACATTCATAGCGCATTTACGTCACGATCTCCAGTGAGGACCAACAATTGATCGGTAGGATCGTGATGAAAGGACATTTTATAATTTGATTTATCAAAAAATAATGAATAAGATCTCGCATCGGCTTGGTTTCGTAGCCGGGACCTCGATCCCGGCTGCAGAAACAGAACGTGGCAAATAAACATTTGTCTTCATATAATGAAAATATTAGGGAATAATTTATTTAAAAGCTTTCACTTCATGTTAAAATGAAGTAGGGGGGGGGGGGGTGAATATACGTTTTAATTATCATTAAATAGCTTCCGAGTAGAAGTGATGACAGAAAACAATGTATAGGTGGTCTGGGGCGTTTAGTAACATATTATTCGGCATTAAAGCACCAAAGATGTGAAAGTAAAATATTTCATGAAGTCGTGTAACGTCGTATTTACATGATGATATTCAGCAAGTTCGTCTTCCTTTACATTTCGTATAGTACTTTACATGCTTTGAGTGTCTTACTGGAGCAATATATTGATGAGATTTTAAACTATGTCTACCACGACTGTGTCCGCATGACAACGAGGATGTAAAGATTTCCGGTAGAATGACCACATGTTGAGAGTTCTATTTCAATGTTGTGGTACATATTTGAGGCTTCACTATATTTTCTGTTTAAAAAGAAGGATATGTTAGTTTGTTTAGCTGTTTTTACTAGGGCAGAGTTTCACGAAAGTGCGTAATTACAAGTTCAACTGTTTCCTGTTGAAACGCATGCGTTGTCAGTAATACGCGTTTTCATGGGATGTTGGGGTACTCGTACTGTTTCGTGAAACGATACCCTGCGTGCTCCCTTCCTTTGAAAGCCACACTGCCCTACTTGTAGCTACTTGCTCCCTCTATATAGAAAACAATTCCTAATCGGTGACCATTGGTCCCCCATGATCCCATGAGATAGCCAACTGTCCAGTGACCTTGCGGTGTGGTCTAATCCCTCCTATAAACTCAGATAAGCTTTAACAAACAGACTCTCGTTCGAATCTGAGTCACGTCTTTTGGATGGTTCCCAGACATGAATAATCATATATTTGATTAATACACACTATGTACAATCCCTATGACGCACGTGCACATTAAGCTTTCCAAGCACACACACACACACACACACGTGCGCACCCACACACATACTACCCGCACGCCTCAAAAATCTGAAATATAATCTTGAATTCGGTAAAGACTATAAATGAAATTGCACTCCTGCTAAGCTTGGGAATAACCGACCACTTGACATTTGAAAAGCCTAATCTGTTGCTGTCTTCAAAAGAGAATTAAAGAAAAACTTGTTTTCAGGAGCTTTCAAATGATTTGTATTGTGTGTCTGTAAAAGAGCTCTGTAGAGTAGCAGCTGCGCTATATAAATGGATCTAATTAGTATATGTTCAAGCTGAAGGAAAAAAGAAACCATCTGTAATGAAGGTTGAGTTTTTTTGAGAGCATTTTCATTTTTATTATGCAAGTGTGGAAGAACATTAGAGAAAAAAATGTTTCCTGAAAAGCATGGCTGTTCAAATGCTTACATAGTCTAAGTATGACATTTAACGGCTTAAGAGTGTGGGCCCCTTTTATATATGCTACATGATCAACTTTTTGTGATCGATTCCACACTGTTCCTTTCACAATGCAATCGCATGATCGGAACTCAACTTTATCTTAAGTTGAGTTCTGGTCATGTGATTGCATTGTGAAAAAAAACGGTGTGGAATCTATCAGAAAAGGTTGATCATCTAGTATATAAGTATTCGTGTTTATTGCAAGGTTCTGGAATCATCAAAATGATAAGAAATTTGGCCAAATCTTGGCAAAGTTACAAGCACTGTCCACAGAATGATGTATATGGGACTACACGAGCACATGGCGAAAAAACCTACCCCCCGATTTTTACGATGTTTCGTGTCGTATTTAGAATATGAAGGCATTTGAAGAGCCATGCTTTTCAGGGAACATGTTTAATCTGATGTTCTTCCACCCTTGCATAATAACAATGATAACGCTCACAAATGATTTTTTACCTCTTCCTAGAACTCAACTTTCTCTTTAAGTACACATATCATAAAATGTGCCAACGTGCCTTTTTATATTTTAGACCAAGAAGGTAACTACATAATGTTATAGCCTTTTTAGTTGTTTGAATTTATTCATTTCTGATATTTAGACAGAGTGACTCATTATCACCAATAATGTTGGTCTTCCATAAGGCCCTGTTAAACATAATACGGAACAATAGTTTAACAAGTTTATAATAACAATAAGGAACAATAGTTAAAAAAAAAGATTAATAATGATTATAATTAGGAACAATAGTTTTAAGAAATTAATGATAATAATAATAATACATGTAATTATAGCTAATCAAGAACATGAACTCATGACAGCAACGAAGAATAAGTAATAACGTGTATAAATATATATATATATATATATATATACAAAGTATTTGGTATCCTCGTAATGAATGAGTGATTTGTTTGTTTTGTTTAGCTGAATCAGAGTTGGAATTAGAATTCATCGGGAGTAACTGTTTGGTTTCCTGTTTATATTATTTGGTTTAAAGTGTCTCTTCTGTTTTAAATCAGTAAAGACATACATTATCCATGGCAACCAGTACTTGTGATAAGACAGTTGACACCATTTATTCAAGGGTATTTCCTGGACTTTTAATTTTAGCGGAAACCGTACAAGTTCCTGTTATTACTCCAACTCTGGACAATAATACTCTATTGCAGAAAAATAGGACATGATATAATCATAGACGTTTAAATGATTATTTAAACAATTTGTTGGATTTACAAATGCTGATAATATTTGTAAAAAGTGAAAGAGTACAAACCTAACACAATTTGTTTTTTCTTCTTCACCACCTCCCCCAATAGTAATTAAAGAGATAAAGATGAGTGCTGGTGAAGCGATTACCATGATTACATCGTGAAATAAATGATTTGAAATAAACAACGTTCACAGTGGCGGTCGAAAGGCAGTAGGCCTACATAATTATGATTTTGGCCACGTCTTATAAAGAGTTGCCATTGATCAAAATCAGTTGCAAGTCATCCAATCGATCGCAAGCTTTCAGTCTCCTATCTCTTATGTACATATTAGTTCCGATTGATTTTAATCGCAAGTACGTTGCGAATAAAATTAACTCTTTGCGAGACTGTACCTAGATGTTTATTATAAGATCGGTTTTGGGATTATCAAAATGGAATTACGTATTATTGTGTGCGATTGATCGATTGCAACTTTTAAAAAATTCTTAACTTTCCAATTTTACTAGGATTTGCGCAAACGTTCACCAGACTGATTCTACTGCTGATAAAAAAATCAGATATTTATCACGCTGGACCCCTTTTAAATACGATATCGACAAGGAAATAAATAACGTCAGGACGTACAACTCAGAAGGGAATACAAGGAGGAAGTTACAATGGTAAATGTGGCCCTTGGCATCTTTAGGCGTCACTTACATTTTCTCTGCTGCTGGCTCTAGAACTGTTCCTTTTTATCTTAAGGCCTGTATGTTTTCGTCGCTACTTTTTTTTATTTTTTATAAACAAGGCCCTAGTTTCAACACCTTCATTCAGTCAATGCATTTTAAAAATCTTGTTTGGATTTGGATATCTGCACAGCTCCAAAAAGCAAGAAACCCGACTAAATGAAAGTTTCTTTTAACAAAGCAATGTAGCCTAATAAAGGAATGACATCTCGTCTTACTCATCACGCTTCCCACTTGGTCTTCGCTTTGAGACTAAATGACACCCTCCCTCCCCGTAGAGAATATAACCTATTACAATGGCTGAAAATACGCTGCGATTCCGACCACACGTTAATGTATTAATTTATATTTCATAGATGATCTAATATATAGTCTGTTTAAGCTGGCTGTGACACAGTGGCAGAAATGATATATATGATCATATATAAAAGCATGTTCAAATTTAGTTCGGGCTGAGAGCACATTGTGATGACTATCCGTAAACATAGCCCACATGATTATATGAAAGGAACACGGAAATGGTACTCACCCCTTCCACGCATGCTCTCGTAAGGTGTTCAGTAGTCTTGTTGGAAAAGAGAACATTCAGCACATCGGCGGTTCCCTGCGTGATGTAAACACACCATGACATAAACATGTATATATACAAACACAAGTTCTGCATCCTGCATGGGTAATCATCTGCAAGTGCCAACGCTTGGAAGACACATCAATTTCAAGGCAAATGAAGCGTTCATCTCATTTTGCTAGGACAAAATACATTCACAAATTTAGGCACCTCAGTCTTTTGGCAAGTCATTGTCAGATATTGATATTTTACAGGAAGCCAAATATGTATACATAGAGACATATTTACGGAAAAAATGTATGGAAATTGTATTAAAAACATAAGCGGAATATGGGACGGGGCTACACCACGTTTAAAATATAATGTCCCCAAAATGAAAGATTTGGCGCTCATGACCAGCCACTCCCGAAAAAGGAAGGGAGCATGTTAGACACCATGTTCGTGCGTTTAATACGCAGAATAAGATATCATTGTGAACGGCTCTTAGGAATCAATCATGACTGCTAAATTATCAGTATTTGATGTGTTATAAAAGATAAATAAACGAACATGTAACGTGAGGTTCTTCGGAATCCTACATTTGTTACTTAGCAAACGATGAATTTAAGTTCGATCAAGACAGTTTTTCTCGTTCCTACACAATGACCTCTCACGTCGTGCGTATGCGTCCCTTGTTGGTAATTCAGGGATAGTAGCCTCAAAACGCTGTTTTTAAATGTAGTTATAGTGGAAAATCACTCTATTGTTGCTGCCCGTATACCATTCCCATAGAAAGGGGCGGGAATATGATTCCTGCAGTCATGGTTAGAAATTCTTGATCAGAAAGTAAATTAACCTTTACAAAATATATTGACTTACATTTAGGAATGACCTGGCCTGATCAACGGTTGCGTTCATTAGAGGTCGCCTTGTGAGGACGCCCTTGAAGAAACCGAGGACGATGTCGATCTCGTTAACGGAACCTAGTTCATGGTCATTGAGACACGATGTGACATTGCCGAGAGCCTCTTCAGCCAGCTTATAACTTGAAAAATTTCCCGGAAATCGGGCTTCAAAGTCCTCTTGCTAAAATAAGAAATGGAGGAGTATATAAGAAAGATGTGTATGTGGGCCATTCTCAGTTACTCAGTGATTTTAACTTTTTACTAGTACTAATCTTGAATTTGTCTTGAAGTCTCAACTTTATATTTTGAATGAAGGCGTTTCCCTTAGATAAATTACCATGGATATACTTCATAAATGATTCATAGGCCCTTAAGCTATTTTTGCAATGGATTCATATAGCATGTTTAGATTCTCAAAAATACTCCCAAAAATGGAAATCTTAACAGTATGTTGTTAATTAACCTTTCTTGTCTGCATGGTTTATGGAATGGGTTTCCCCTCTGTTTATTTGTTGTTGTTGTGTCTCGGGCTTTGAGAACATCCTACAAAATGCCTTGATCCGATGGTCGTCCTTTTAGAGGCTCAAACTTTCAATCGGAAATAATCCTTATTCATCTGCAATTAACACATTGCCAAACATTGTTAACTTAATGCTAAATATATTACTCATTGCGGATATAGTATCGAAAATAATATCGCTAGTGATATTCGTTTGTCTCGCAATGTGGTCAATAGGGAATCTTAAAAGTTCACGACGTTTCGTGTGCATCTGCAACACTTCATCACTTCATCTGGTGATAATAATACAGTAGTTATTATCATCAGATGAAGTGTTGCAGATGCACACGAAACGTCGTGAACTTTTAAGATTCCTTATTGACCACATTGCGAGACAAACGAATATCACTAGCGATATTATTTTCGATATTGTTAACTTACTTTCCATTTCAATTCACCCACGCTAGTCTTGGTGTCGGTAGTTTCTTCGATGGGTAGTGAGGCAAAAAAAAAATGAAAAGAATAGAAAATGATAAAAAGGAAGAGTTTAAAGAGAGTGACTTGTATAGAGAGAGATGGGGGAGAGAGATATATATATGTATAGAGAGAGATGGGGGTGGGATATATATATATATATATATACCTTAAGAGAGAGAGAGAGAGAGAGAGAGAGGGGGGGGGGGGGAGGGGGTAAGAATGTAAGTTCACGGTCAAGGCGTCCATTACTTTCATTAACAAATACTATAATGTATTTCACAATGAAGCCAATTTAGGTGGTCATTTCGGACTAAAACGAAACAGCGGCACACCAAAACCTCGCAAATTACCAACAGAAAAGATTCAAAATAATCTTCTTGTTTAAAAGTGAAACTAATATATCCATTTGGTTTAGCAAGTAGATAATAATTTTTAATTGATTTATTATTCGAAAACGAGTTATTGTTGAGACAATTTGATTACTCATATACGTGCTTTGTTTATTTTTAAATACGTGCACCTCTGTTTTTTTTTAATCGGTATTTCTTTATCTATTGTAAGAATATTTCAATTAGTTATGATGAAATGGCTTATTTCTTTTAAATGTATATAGGATTTTAAAAAACATCTTGGCAGAGAAAAATGAATTTGCAGAATCAGTATAATATATAGGCCTATATATATATATTTTTTTTTTGGGGGGGGGAGGGGAGGCTTGGATCTACGATTTTGTAAAAGAGTCGACATAAAAAGAAGGCCATCACTAGAAAAGGGGAGCAAAATCCTAGAGTTTTGCACTTGGGTGTCATTCATTTACGACATTTATCTCGCTTACCTTCATTTATAATCTACATGTTCTAGGGGGTGGGCGTTACTGCTTGAGAAACAACCCGTTTTCCTTATAGCTAATGTCGTGTTTGAGCTTCAAACAACTGATTTTGAGCATAAAATATAATGGGATTTTTAGGACTTCGCATGAGAAATGAAAATGATTTTACCACAGAGGGTTGTATATATTGAGTAGCACCAATCACCAACATTTGCGTAATAAGCACGACGATATAGGAAAGTGTGAGTTAGTGATCACATATGCCAGCCGATGCAAGATATTGAACAGTTTCCAATTTCTAAGTCTGGAATTGCCATTTTAAAAAGAAGGTTGGTGCTGGAAAAAGTACGAGTACTAATATGTGTGCTTTCTATTTTTTTAAAATGTCAGTTGGGGAGAAAATCAGAGAAGAAATGTCTTCCGAGAAGGTGTTGCTATTAGAACACCCTTATTATTCGAAATATGATGATATGAAAGTTGTGACCAAACATTTGAGTTTACTTCCATAATATGCAGGTACAGCATGTGATCCTAAGCAAAAATTGAGACAATTCCTTTTGTGAAATTCCAAATCTCCACAGGAACACCCTCCTTGAAAAAATTCTGCGTACGCCACTGGTACACAGTACCACATAATTAACCCCTTTGCACTTGCTTCCACGCAACCATGGCAATGTAATCGCGTTGTCACAAATCGAAACTTTATCAATGTACGAAAAAAATAAAACCATATTTTGGACGCATATTAGATTCTAACGTTTAAATTTGTTTTATCAAATTTAAATGTCATTTATTTCATTTATTTTAATGAGTTCTGAATACATTGAATAAGTATACACTAAAACATATATTAAAAATAAATAAACAATGATATAAAACAGAACTGACAAGGACTCGAAGATAAGCGGAGCTTAGTGATGTCTTATATGAGCCCTGATAATTGAGTTTTTAAAAATCCATCTCAATATCACCTAATCTTTCATCAAAATCCAATTGTGATCTTTCTAGTAAATGACGAGAGATTAAAGGCATCGTTTAATTTTGTTTCCAATTTCAAAACTCTGTGATGCATGGCCCTACGTGTTATCAGTGTCCCTGATATGGTGTAATATTGAAGCCATACCAAAAATTGCGCTTCAAAATGATCACAAAGTGCCTCAAAAAAGTAAAAATCTGTGAGTGACCGGTTTTTACAATACTCAGTTTCCCCAATAGACTGTACTGTTAAAAAAACCGTTGGGAAAAGGTTTTTTGGAATTTCGATTTCCAATCATAAAATACCTTGATAATCAGACAGGCAATCGGTTTGTATAAGTCATGGGATTCCTTACTGACCTACTGTAAAGGTTTATAACTATAATTGCAGCATGAACTAAATCCAGGATTGTGGTTAAAATCTGAGGCAAATATACCCAATCCCTTTACAGAACTACTTCTTACCTGGAACTCCTATATCTGCCAGCATTGCAGCACCAAGAGTAGCATGAAGTGTGTAAAGTCTGACCCAGAATCTTGCTGATTGGTTCCCATGAGTCACGTGGTATACTCCATTTTGCAATTCGGTCGAGTAATGGCAGAAACTTTCATTCCGCAAAGCGGACTCCGATCCTTCAATAGGACGTGAGCTGATGTTGTAACAAGTCCTGTTCATCTCTGGAACCAAAGAACCTTTAAAGTGGAGCATCGGCGTTTCTTCCCCCATAACTACAATATCCCCAAAGTATCGCATACCACTCGTCGTTTTATTAACACATACCGTTGTGTTACCAAGGTAATTTTTTACTGCTGGGATGATTGTCATACTAGGGTCTCCATCGTCCCTATTTTTATGTGAGCCTGCAACGTATTGCATGACTTGAATCGGTTTGTTAGCTTGAATAAGGCACAGGTTTTGACTGGTTCCTTTAACCGTGATATCCATGTAGTCTTTACTTTCCAGGGTTTGTGACGATGGGGCCTCCTCCCCGCAATCTGTCGTTGATATGATAGTGCTTTCGTTCATCGCCAAGATGCGCAAGATCCAACCGTTGGGTGTTTGCTGGAAAGGTGGTACGATGTGATCGATACCCCATGACGGAATGGGTAGCAATTGCTCCAAAATGACACCATGTCCTTTATCCAGATTATCTCGTGGAATATAAACACTCAATGCTCCCACTATAACAGAGATAGGTTCATCAGATCGAATGTAAGTTCCGGTCATTTCTGTTTCATTTTTTACCCCTGTCAGAATCCCAGATTCACCAGCCCCTAACTTGATCTCCCCCGATACTCTAGCATTTTCAAAAGTGCAATTATCTGCACAATAAATAGTTATTGTTGTATTATCAAATATAGCTGCTATAGCTACTTGTGCACTGCGATTTATGGGTGTATAACAATCAACCAAGTATTCCTTTCCTAGCTGTTCGTGCGGTAGGGCTAAAAACCCTGCAGTCAAGCCTACACTACTGAACATCATGCCATGGACATTAATGTCAGCAGTGGAGAAGATTTGAACAGTTTCACATCTTGGACGACGTGTCACATTAAAGGATTGACCTGTAATATTCAAAAGCTGTCGCTCAACGTTCAGACAGGGTATGCTGATGCGTGTCTCCGTTGTCTTAGGCGTAATGTTGATTATAGTTGAGAAGTATCTGTTGTATTTTATGAAGCTAAATGTATACTCCTGGGTCCAGGAAGCTCTTTCAGACATGTTTTCTTTTTCAGTAGACGAAAGGGGGAAGAAAAGAAAAGATGTCTAGTTAGCAAAAGTAAACTAAATAGTTTAACAAGGACTTTGGATTAATAGTATAGAGAAATCGACTGCTTTGAGAGGCCTGGCTGTCTTATATGCTCAAGGGAACGCGCGCAGATCCTGCCATTACCCTGAGGCGCGCCTAGGAGTCATGACAGGATGTACTAGTTAATAATAATAATAATAACAACATTTATAATGCGCACATATCCACCCCAAGAGATGCTCAAAGCGCCTAACAAGGTAAGTACATGGAACGAAAATAATTTAACATAATTAAATATAATTCAACAACGTTAATTACATCAGATTGTGAAATACACTACGTCTTAACTAAGAAATTCAGACATTAGATAGGTTTTCAATTTTGTTTGGAACAAATTTTGATTGGCTGACATTTTGATTGAATGGGGTAGGGAGTTCCATAGGTGCAGCAGCTGTAAAAGCTCTGTCTCCCCAACTCTTTGTTCTTAATTGTGTTAAATTTGTTGAATTAGAGGAACGAAGACCTGCATGAGAACTTAAAGAGATATTAAGAAGAGAGGAAATATATTCAGGGACTGATCCATTTAGTGAACGGTAGGTGAGTAGTAGAATTGTATATTTGATACGCTGTTCTATTGGAAGCCAGTGAAGGTTCTTGAGTATTTGAGTAGTATGGGTCGAACGTTTAGATTTAGTGACAAGGCGGGCAGCTGCGTTTTGAACCTTTTGTAGTCTGTGAATTTGGTATTTAGGAAGTCCAAAAAGGAGAGAGTTACAGTTATCGAGATGAGAGTGGTTTGGGGGGTTAAAAATTTCCTTATAGCGCGAAGATTACGAAGATGATAATTGGCAGCTTTCACACATTTTGAAATATGTGCATCAAGAGACATGCTTGTATCGAAAATGACGCCAAGATTTCTTGCCTTATCTGAAGGAGCAAAGTGCACAGAACCAACACGTATATGAGTTATAACAATCTTGGAAAGTTGTTGTCTGGAGCCTATCAAGAGAAATTCTGTTTTATCGTCATTTAGTTTGAGATAGCAATCATTCATCCATTTTCGTACATCACGAATACAACTTTCAAGATCTTCAACACGTTTTTCTACCTGTTCCTGAATAGGAAGACACGAAAAATATAATTGTAGATCGTCTGCATACATATGATAGCTTATATTGTGTTTACTGATTATCTCATGAAGTGGTAAGGTATATACATTAAACAGATGGGGACCTAAAACAGATCCTTGGGGCACAGAAAACAGAAACAACCGATGAAGTTGTATCATGAATGTTAACCGCTTGAGATCGATTTGAAAGGTAGGAACGAAACCAATGAAGACATGTTCCACCAATGCCAACCTTTTTTAGTCTGTCGATTAAGATATTGTAGTCAACAGTATCGAAAGCGCAGCTGAGATCTAACAGAACTAATGCAGTAACTTTCCCCTTCTCCATTTCTATTAAAATGTCATTTTGTCCTTTCAATGGTGCCGTCTCCACACTGTGGTTTTCCTTGTAGGCCGATTGAAAGGGGTTTTTGAAGGTTTTGGTCATTTATGCTGGACTGAAGACGCGTAGATACTATACGTTTAATTACCTTACCAAAATACTTTAAATTTGCAACGGGACAATAATTGTTAAGCTCTTGTTTATCAAGGCTTGGTTTCTTTAGGTGAGGTTTAATGAGTGCATGTTGCAGACAATCAGGAAAGATGCGAGAACGTAGAGATAAATTTACAATCTCTGTGATGTATGGGGTGAATTCATTAGAAAAATCTTTGATCAAACAGGTTGGAATAGGATCTAGTTCACATGTAGATGGTGGAGAATTCATAATGACTTTCCGAACCTCACTAGTTGTGGCTGGTAAAAAGTCAGACAAATAGGGAGTGGCACTTTCTGACACTGACTGATAACCTGTACTATCACGAGCGTCAAGAATTCGACGAATATTGCTAACTTTATTCATAAAGAAATCAGAAAAACGATTTGCTAAGTCTTGATCAGACACATTACTAGGAAGAATTTGATCTTTCTTTCTATTCAAGAGTTTATTTATAACTTGAAACAACCGCTTCTGATCGCCACTGCAGTCTGCTAGATCAGATGTGTAGTGATGTTTTTGCGCCTGGTTAGCGAGATGAGACACTATTTGTCTTTGCTTAATAAATAGAGACCGATCGGATTCAGTTTTAGTGGTTCTCCAACGACGCTCCAGTCTCCGCCTGAGGCACTTTGCCTCTCGGATATCATCAGTCATCCAAGGACACCTGGGTTTGACAACTATAGTTCTTGTTTTTCTGGGAGCTAGTTGATCCAATAAGATATTTAGAGAATAATAGATGTAACATCATAATCTGAGTCAGGAACAGATAAAGCTACATGGAGACCTTTACAGAACCTTTGCCTATCCAAAGACTTTAAATTCCGGGATGAGAAACTTTGTCGAATAGGTTTAGGTTTTTCCAATGTAATGTTACACAGTATAGCAAAATGATCTGAGAGACCAGGTTGCACTACTACATTTGATATAACATTTTCATGTTCACGTGTGATCAATAAGTCAAGTGTATGTCCGTGGTCGTGGGTCGGTTCACGGACATGCTGTTTCATCCCATATGTCGATAGTAGGTTCAGAAACTGTCTGGCCTTTGAATCATCCCGGACGTCAACCCATATATTTTAGTCACCCACGAGTAAGATCTCTGATGGGTGGAGAAGGTAACTGTCCAACATTTCACCAAACTCCTCCATGAAGACACCGAGAGCATATAAAGCATACTGACTGAAAGTTTCAATCATTTAGGATTCGCAGACAAAAAGCACTGTATGGTGTCCGCGATCGCACAAAAACAATTTTAACAAGTAAACCAATGGGTATCGCAGCAGGATTTCTTAAGTGAGGTTATAAAATGTGTTTTTTATACTTCCGTTTAGTACGTTGAAATAAATCAAGTCATCTGATTGGTCGAAATTGGAGTCGTGATTTTGACCGTATCAATAAAAAAACGAACAATTGCCTGTTACCCGAATGAAGGGCGATAGTTTAATGAGAAAGATGACCGTTACCCGGATGAAGGGCAATAGTTAATGCGAAAGATGCCCGTTGCGCCCGGGTAACGGGTCGCATAAATATTTTTTTGCTGAGATCCCCATCGGTTTACGTGTAAACAATTTCTGTGTGCGAGCGCGGATACCACATACAGTGAAGTGTGAGAGCGATTCCCGAATGGTCGTTATATTCAGGCAATTTTCCAGCGAAGATTTAGTACATACAGTGTCTCAGATTTGCTATATTGTTTTAACCAGTCTTTACTCAAGAAAAGGATAAAGTTAGCATTCTTTGTAGATTTTTGTGTGAACTCGGTATATAAAAGGTATATGGACTGCTTTTATATTCCAAGCATTACTGTCTCTATTTTAGCTCTCGGGGATGTTACATCCTGCTATGGCCCCTCGGCGCGCCGCCGCGGAGCCTATAGAAACAGCTTTACCTCTCATAGCAAAGACTTTGGGTTTCAGGTTAGGTTAAAGGTAATGGGTCCGGGCTAGCGGCATTAACATAATATCACTATGAACATGACTGACAAAGCAAGCGGACAAAATATACAGCTCCTCAGGTAGACAAAATAAGATCCCTTCACTGCTATTATGTAAAAATGTGTAGAACAGGTGTCACATGCATATTCACCTTTTTACATAATGGCAGTGAAGGGATGTTCCTTTGTCTACCTGACGAACTGTATATTTTGTCCGCTTTCTTTGTCTGTCATGTTCATAGTGTATAGTGCTTTTTACATCAGACCAAACGCAAAAGAGTATTCACCGTGTTAAGCATTATACAGTGTGAGTCAAAAAAAGTTTACACCTAGAAAATTGCTAATTATTTTAAAAATCATCTATGAGCAGTAAACTAGTATAAATATTATGAAAGAGTATTTTATCCCGAATCATTTAGTACAATTTGGTGTGGTATGTATTCACGCTTGGATGAACAGGAGGCATTGTTTGCGAGAGTGCAAAAATCGACTTGCGCCAAAGTTGCTTATGTGATGTTTGAATAAAACACTTGGGATTTGAGTAATGATTCGGTCTTTGCAGATCCAAATAACATCCCTAGCAAATTGAATTATGCCACGCATATCAAATATCGAATATCAAACATCAAACAACATTTGTGCGCGTGTGTGTGTGTGACTTTACTTCTGCAAAAAGCATAGCAATGCGTTTCGTTCGATACATTCAATCCATTCTCTCACTCCGCTAATCCCAACACAATACATACTGAAGGCATCACTCTGGCGGAAATCGATTTTTGCACTCTCGCAAACAATGCCCCCTGTTCATCCAAACATGAACACATTCCGCACAAAAATGATACCAAATGATATGGGATAAAACACTCTTTCACAAGATGTATAATAATTTACTGTTCATAGATGATTTAAAAAAATGATTAGCAATTTTCTAGGTGTAAACTTTTTTTTTTTGATTCACACGGTATAGCGACATGGAATTACGCCTTTATTTCATGCGCTATACAAACACGTTTAATTGATATTATTGTTATTATTTTTAATTCAAGAAAGATGATCACCTAAGTGCAATAATTAAACGTAACAATTGGATTATCGAGTATACTTACGAGATCTACAGTGAGTAATACCGATACAGCATAGAACCTGTAAAGAGATGGAACAATAGATTAAAAAAAAACATCGGACTTTAGTTTCGATGAGAGTAACTTTTAATATAAACCCTAAAACTCATTTGAAAAGTGCATTATGTAAGGGTGGATGCAGCAATAATGTAAGGTTATTAAAACATTCAAACTTACATTATTGTTTCGTTAAATATTACACTTACCTTATAACCTTAATGATAATACAAAGTTTTGATATGGGGTCATGAATTTGGTTCAAATGAACATATTGGTAGCATATGCGATCCTACAATATTCAGTAATCGTTGTCGCAGTTGAAATCGAGTCTAAAGTTGTAACATTTTAGATAATAAACTTGTTATGTTGTATAGCTCCCTCTCAAGGTCAAGATATTAATTAAGCTATAAAACAAGTTTCTTGACTAAAATCGACCGATTAGCTATTCCCGTTTGGAAATTATATATCTCGACTACATATTCTGAGATTTTCATGATCGCAGATACTATTGTACGAACGTAGTCGCTATTCGAAATTTATCAAAATTTACCGGGAGCTCCGGTAAATTTTCATATTCAGTTTTTCTGGAAAGCAGAATTATTTTAGGGGCTTAATTTACTAATGCTTAGAATACATCCACAGGGGCATCCAAATATATCAATATTGTAAAGAATCACTATCCACACAATTTTCTAAACTCCCAAAACTTTGTATTACCTTTAACACTGATATATACAGAAATAAAGCATTTTAATATCACCCTTAACAGAAGTCAACCCGTCTTTCTGCATGCATCACATGACATGGTTTTGTGAGGGATCTTTTGGTGACTACCGTGAAAGTATTGTACTATCTTTAATGACCGAATGTTTTCTTTTCAACCATTTGAAAAACCTACTGTCATACATCAGATGGTTAAGTGGTTAATTGGTTTCTCTTAAACTGGATGACTAAAGAAATTGTTCGGAGTTCATCAAAACCTGCCTTATTCTAATTTTGCATCAACATTTCAGAAACTTTTATTTCGGTGGTTAATTACGGAGGTCTTTACACAGTTTCCAAATTTACCGACAACCTAAATCATGGATTTGCGGTATTTTAATTCATATACCCCATTAAACTAATGATAATCAGCATCGAGAATTACCAACAACATTTACAGCATTCACTCTATTTCAAAGTTTTGGGTGAAGAGGAGAGTTTATACTTATATTGCAAACTTCTTTGCAGTGTTTTCGAGGAGGAAGTTTGAAAGAATGACGTCATGTATTTGATGTGACCTTTTCGTCTCGTGAGTCGTGCTCTAAAAATAATGTACAAATCCGTATCCAGGCTATTTGGGGCTGAACGGTCTGTTGCCTAGAACTAATATATTACTCATGATCCCTAGGCCATTAAAGATGAAAGTGTTAAACATGTAAGCTAAGCTGAAGTTGTACCTAGTATACCGTTTTCGTAATGAACCAGATTTATATTTAAGTGCCTCGATAAGAATTATTCCATACACTTGTTACGAATAATCATATTACAATAGTCGGAACAGGAAGCTACCTGGTCAGAATGCAAATTGCGTATATAATTGTTACGTGTCGTAAGGCAGGGTAAGCCAAAATGTTTGTCCTACCTAGCAACAACGAATCCCGCCCCCCCCCCATTTCAGGGTTTGAGAGACCGCATTCGTGTTCCTGAAATACCCGGTCAAGGGGTACTATTCACGCAACAAAGTCCGACCGTATTGACTTACACACCGGAGAAAGGGAGGGGGGGGGGGTGCTTTAAAAAACCCGACACGTATTAGTTTTACACACCGGAGATTGGGGGGGGGGGGGGGTGCTTTCAAAGGAAGGGAACATGAATATGCGTACCATAAACAAAACTGAGTGGGGGGGGGGGGGACCAATGTACGCAGTTTGAAATCTGACTACTGAGATAAAAGGTTAATGAAATGAATAGTATCGAGGCGCTTCACAAAGGCATTATGCATAAATTTAGTTACATGACGAAAAGGGTCTATTATAGGTAAAAGGTCCATCATTAGTCGACCATCTTAAATAGAAAATTGCTAAAATTCGTATTGAATTTTGAGGGTACTTGTCTAGGTCCCTGTGGCGCAATGGATTAGCGCATTGGACTTCTAATTCAAAGGTTCCGGGTTCGACTCCCGGCAGGGATAGTATCCTTTTTCGTGTCAAAATTGTTAACCTGTTCATGGTGACCCCGATCACAAGAGTTCTTGCCCGAAAAAACACACACAACAGAGACAAAAGAATCAATTGAGAAAGTAAAGTAGATGTTTCCTTCTCCATTCTTTAATAATATTGCACGTTAACAACGAAATCAATATTATCTTGAACGAACTCTTTTCGCATAGAAAAACAGTCACCTGAGGTTTTTATTGAATATCAATAGATATCGTAGATTAGATTCAGAACGCAGAAGGATATGTAGATTAATGTCAAATATGCGATTAATGCAGCTAGGGGGGTGTTACGAAGGGGGGGGGGGGGGGGGGGGTGCCTAAAATTCGTTGTCAAACAGTGATGCCCCGATATAGACAACTCATAAATTTTCACTTTCGCAAGTCACACTTATTTTTAGATAAATCATGATGCTCCTGAAAAGGTAAGACGCCCCCCCCCCTTTTCCGACCTTTTCAAAAATGTTACTATTGAAATCATATATTTTTGAGACACATATCCCATAAGAATACTTGAACAGCTCCCCGTATCCAACAAATTTTACTTGGGGTTGGAAGAGGGGGAGGGCGTAACAAATCCATTTCAAACGTTTTACATTTACATTTCTAATGCTAACTTTTCTTTAGATGACCTTTCAGCGAGTCGCAAATTCGCGGGAAATTCCCAAAGCACGCCAATGACTTATCCGCTTCAGCACCTCACGTTTGATGATAACGCAATATTCTTCCTGCTACTACGTGTAGTCTCCGTTACCAGACGCAAATATGTGACTTTCGAAAAATCTGAAATTCTGTAGCATCATTGTGGTTAAAAGAGTTCAAATTGGGGTTGTAAATTCAATCCTGACTGCTATGTACTGAAGGTAATGTGAACAGATTTGATAGTTGGTTATGAAGATATGACTTATAATGTGATTTAACAAAATGGCGCCTAGATGACTTCACGGTTGAGTGATCACGCTAAGAAGAAGAAATTAACTTTTTCTGGACATAAGGAATAAGTGGTGCAAATGTGATGGCGATCAGGTTGTGCGTTTTTAACACGGCGACAAAAACGTACAGAAAAAAAGGATAAATATATATAGTTATATGAAAGATATAAAGATTCTTACGAAATCAAGTGGTAATCTGCAGAATCTGCTGCAGATCACCTTACAAACGAAACATAAAGCCTTGTGTAATTCTAGTTATCTGTCTCACCCCCGCCCCCTATCCAATAATATTGTTTAAATTCCAGTTGAAATGTATGATGCACGTTATTAAATGTAGTGAGGTCTACGCGTTGCATAAGAAACTATGTTGTCTTTCCACCTCATATTCAAGGACAAGGTCTGAAGAAATTAGACGTCTAGAATCAGGCTCGATTTTGTTTTGATGGGCGATAACAAAATGTAAGAGGAATTTCCTTGTTTTGTTTGGCGTCACCCTGAGGTCTTGGCGTTATCCGGACCAATCGCAACGAGTATGTTATGTTTGATTTCCTTTAACCCTGATTACCGATAACAGAAAATATAAGGATATATAATCCTGAGCAACTGAAAAAAGTAATCGTCTTACGAAAAGCTACGAATTGCGTTTAAAAGATTTCTACAAATGTATAATCAATATCTTCGAGAAAAGCTTCCCCCTGTATCCAGCGCGATAACACTGACAAGAGTTAAATAGTTAAGGTCCTAGCTGGGTGCCCTTTGGAACACCCTTTATAAGTGACATAGAAACAACATTTAAAAACATTTACACTTAAAGTGAATTGTGTAAATTTTTAGCTCATTGGAGAACCGTTTCAATCCACGACAGTCGATTGATTTCCATCGTTTGCACTCAATACACATGTGTTAAAGCTACGTATCAAACACAAGGCATTATTTCTAATAACAATTTGGTTCTCATGAATTCCTAGGTCACGGGGGAGGGGGAAGGGGGGGGGGGGCACATGGTAATTTGTGCACTCTTTTGAAAGCTCAGATGGCTTAACATAGAGACACAACCTATCAGGAATTTATATACCAACCTTTTCAAATCTTTGACCTAATAACCATGAGATAATGTGACACTCCTTTTAAAAGTTTGTCAGTTTGGCACCCCACCAATATAAATTCATACACCCACTCATTCAAAGGAACTAACGATTTAAACATGACGAGGAAATCCAAAAACAATAAAGACAAGTTGCTCTGAATCAAAGCAGAGCTTTAAATTATTGAATATGTTATGCCATGGTACTACTAGTTAAAGCTATTAGTAGTAATGTTCATTTTATTAGAGATGATGATGTTAAACGATAATATTTCTTCAAAATAAAACTTACATTGTAACATTTCTGCAGTACTTAAAATCAGCATTTCATTTCTTCTCCATGATTAACGGATGACTTGTGGGAGTGTGATAAGCATATCAGGTTTGCTTTACCAGAGTCTTTAAACTATAATAATTTACACTTTCAGTAATAAGATAGTGTGAATGACGTCACAATCACCGCGAAGAACCTCACCATCTGTTTTCCTTACGTGACAATCTGGCAATATAACCCATACACCTTGATGATTGGTGGGCACGCCTTGATCATCTTTTCATTATGTGTTAATCTTTCCTTTGTTTCCTATACATTCTTTGTGTCAAGGTCGGTTGTGGTCTTCTTAAAGCCCCACTGCACTACTTATAGCTCCTTGCGCCCTCTATATAGCAAATAATGCCTAATCGGTGACCGTTGGTCCCTTTTTCTTATGTCAATTGAGGTGTGCTTTGATGAGATAACCACATGTCAGTGATCATGCAGGAAGGTCTAATCCCTCCTGGCGCAACTAGTGCAGACGGGCTCTAATAGA